TGAGTGAGGTAGTGATCAGGGAGTGGAGGAGCTGGTGACCTTACTAGGTGGTAGGAGGTGAGTGAGTATTAGGTTACCCTCTAGGTGGGACCAGGGGCATGCTGGGAAGAAAGATTTGTTCTTTGGTGGGAGCAACCATCTTGGCATGACGTCACACAGGGGAGGGGGCAAGGCACCATAGGAAGAGGGCAGCTACTATACATAATAGCTGCTGAGGTAGTAGAAGACCTATCAGGGATCAAACTCGGGTCCTTGCATTTGCGCAGCAGGCAGCGAAACCACTGAGCTAAATCCCCGGCCCCTTAATCTTTATTTTTAACAGATTTATTGAGGTTAATTCACACACCATTCACCTGACCTAGTTAGAATGTATAATTCAGTTGGTTTTATTATGACCGTAGGGTTAGAGTTGTGCAGCCCCCAATCCTGTGCTTCATAGTGACTACATCCTGGTTCATTTATTTCCACCAGCAACATATGAGGATTCTCATTTCTCTCCATATTCCAGTTGGAGTACATGTTCTGCCAAAGCGAACACAGGTTCTAATTTCTCTACATCCTTGCCAACACTTATTATTTGACTTTATACAACTGTTACACTAGAGGATGTGTCATGATAGCTTATTGTGGTTTTTGACTTGCATTTCTCTATTGGCTAATAATGTTGAGCATCTTTCACGTGCCATTTATATATCTTCTGTTTTAAAATTGAGTTTTATATCTTTTTTTTTTTTTTGGTACCGGGGATCAAACTCTGGTCCTTGCACTTGCACAGCAGGTGGCTGTAAGACCGAGGGCCTTACCAAACGCTCCGAGGAGCTGCCTGCAGCGATGAACACCCGGGAAGGAACACACCGGACAAGTTGGAAAATAAAACAGACCTTTATTAGTCTGGCCAGACGGCACTCCCAAAGCAAAGTAGCTAAGGGAGGCAACTGGCTCAGAGTCCGAGGCTGTTTCATAGTGGGTTGAGGGGGAGTTTAACATGTAGATTTACGGAAAAAAGGAACAAAGGTTAGTGGTCGACTGTCACGTACTGATGGTCAGCAGACATACACACTAATGGTCATGACCGTCACGTACTGATGGTCAGCAGACACATTGATGGATTGTTCTACAGGTAGTGGGCCCAGGAACATTCGTTCTCCGGACGAACAAGGGGTTGAGCAATTTTACTTAGGAACTCTGTTTCGTTACAGATTCTATTATCCCAGAACTAACAGGCAGATTTTAACCATTAATTTACAAGTACGATAGAGGCTAGGGGAATAATTGATTTTGGAATCATGCAGTCTCACACGGCGAAACCACTGAGCTTAAATCCCCAGCACCTTGAGTTTTGTATCTTATTGCTAGGTTAAGCAAGTTCTTTGTGTATTCAGAATATAAGTACCTTATAATTGATTTACAACTATTTTCTTCCATTCTGTGAGGCTATCTTTTCTTTTCTTTCTTTCTTTTTTGCTAAGCCAGCCAGGAGACTGATTTTTTTCTGTTCTCTTTCTTGATGGTTTCACTTGTAGCAAAAACAGTTTTTGATTTTGATATAATCAAAATTTTTCTTTTGTTGCCTGTGCTTTTGGTGCCATGTCTAAGCAGGCTTTGCCTACCTAAGATCATCAATCAGTGCTTATTCCTCTTTCCTTCTAAGAATTTTAAAGTTTTTGTTTGTTTGTTTTTGTTTTTTGAGACTGGGTCTCCCTGTGTAGTTCAGAGTGGCCTTGAAATCACTATGTAGCCCAGGCTGACCTCAAACTCAGCAGTTCTCCTGAGTTAGCCTCCAGTGCTGGATTTATAGATGTGCAGCACCATGCCTGGCCAAGAGCTTTAGAGTTTTAGCTCTCACATAAGGTCTATGATTTTCTTTTCTTTTTTTCTTTTGCAGGGTTAGGGATCAAACCCAGGGCTTTGTATAGGCTAGGCATGCACTGTTCTTCAACCTTGGGCCCTGGTTTTTGATCATTTTTTTTACTTAATTTTTATATATGAGTCCAATTTCATTCTTCTGCAATGAGGATATCCAGCACCATTTGTTAAAAAGACTTTTTTCCTGTTGAATTAGCTTGACATTCTTGTTAAAATTAGTTGACCATAAATAAATACATGGTTTTATTTTTGGAATCTCAGTTCTTTCATTGATCTGGGTATTCATATACTAGCAATGTACTGCCTTCATTACTATAGTTTTTGTATGACATAGGTTTTGAAATGCCAGTGTGAGTTTTCCAACATTTATTTTAGCCAAACATTTATTGGCAGATTTTAAATATACATAATGATGACATGCATCATAGGGAATTTGTACCAGTACATGATATATCTTGCTTCTTCTCTTTTTTCCCCATTCCCCCCCTCCCTTATGTATAAAACCAACATTTTTTTTTTAAAGGTGGTCTTTGTGTGTGTGTGTGTGTGTGTGTGTGTGTGTGTGTGTGT